ATGCAAGTGCAAATCTGATTGCAAGACGTTTGACATGCCTACAAAGTAAACCTGAGAAAACGAAAAACCATTAAACAAGCATCAAAATGAAAACTAGATACACATAATCTCTACAATTTATGAGCTGTACTCTTTCAGATAAACTTCTTCATCAAAGCTTGCCATTCTAATATGGAAGAAGTGCTTATCTTTATACTCCTACAAATACAGTAAGACCATAAGCTCATGAGACAGGACATACAATACAAATTTCTGGTACCTTAATACCTCCGACGGGTCTCACTACGTGAAGTCCATATAATGTGGTCAACAATGACGAGCCGTGCTTATTTAGATGTCGATAGTATTTAGGAAGCATGTCCCTGAGAACCTGAGATCAAGTGTTGAGCTAAAATAAGGTGATATGAACCAAGACATCTCAATCAATCATGTAATATTAATGCCACATTAAGAAGAATTAAGCTTCATTTATGGAACAAACGCTTCAAGATACTTCAAGTGAAGCTTTATTTATTGTTACAAATTTATGATGGATGATAATTTAAAGATATGGTGNAAGGCTTATTTATATAATGGCTAATTATGGTAAAAAAATATAGTTACAACTCTTGGAATGCCTCACGGAAGATTAATGGTTTTTATTTTGAAGCTATATAAAGCCATGTATGTTGTCATTTAAAATGAGACTTGGAAAATGTAGTAAAAGAAGCATTTGTGCTTTCCTTTAGCCAATGACTAAATTTCTTTGTAATTCCATGTAGTTTAGGTTGCGTGCAGAATCATTCAAGGTTTGACATAATCAATCTTGCTTGTAGAGTGATTCGAATCTCAACAAGGGCGAAGTATTCTTACCTTTCATTTGCAATTCTATGTAATCTAGATTACATGTTTAGAATCATTCAAGCTAGACATAATCGATTTTTCTTGTGGAGTGATTCGAATCTCAAACAAGTGTTTTTACCTTGAGATATTTGATCAACAAAGTAATCTAAATCTTACTTTCCTTGTACTCATTTCTTATCATTTGGTACCCGAGCTTTCTCTTGAGTTGTAAGGTCTCAATTCAATACTTACCCGAGAAAGTTTCAGGTATAAATTTTTGGTAGGAAAATCTGAATTGTATTTATCT